AATGAGTTTTTAACCTTTAAAAAAGATCTCCATTTCATTTTAAAATATACTGTTTCTTACAGAAAGACTCACTGTTTTTGCTAATAACACTGATATAAGCTCGTATTTTAAAGTTAACAATAAATTACTATTTCCCATACCAAAAAAAAAAGAAAGCTTGTGTATAGGCACGTGAGTGCAAGTGCCCTCAGAGGCCAGAAGGGGGCGTCAGATCCCCTGGAGTTGGAGTTATAGGAGATTGTGAGCTGCCTGATGATGGATATTTGGAACTGAACTCTGGTCCTCTGGAAGAGCAGCAAATGCTCTTGACTGCTAAGCCTTTTCTCCAGTCCCTTTTTCTATCTATACATTTATTTGGTTCTAGAACAACAAAAAAAAACCTTGTGAGTGCTAGTCAATGACTCTATACCACTCTACACGCATGATAATCCTAGCAATTTTTTTCAGTTTAATTTTTTTATTTTAAAACAGGCTCCTGGGGGTTCAGACTACAAGTGCACACCACCATGCCGGGTTTCTAGTCCTGCCTTCCTTTTCTCTTTCTTCCCTTTCTTCCTCCCTTCTCCCTCCCTCCTTCCCTCCCTCCCCCTCTCTCTCCTTTCTTTTATTCATTTCCAAAACAAAAAGTAGGAATAAATAAAACCCTTGGGATAAGAATCCCAGTTATTAGATTTTTTAAATAAAAGTTTTACTTAATTCTTTTGATTCATTCACCCCTTTCATTGAGATACCATTAAATAGGAAAACAGTCCAAAGGCATGCAGTTACAAGGTAAATTGTGCTTCTCTTTTAAAGGTCTTACAACAGCATCTCATCCCAGTGATCCATTCCACCCTATCACCAAGGTCTTCCGCTCTCCTGGAAATTTCTGGGATGGGAGGTCAAGTTCAGCTTACCTTCACAGGGCACACCTGGTTTCCTACAGCTATTAGACTGTATAAGCTCCTAAACTATGTGGGGATCCAGAAATACTTATGTTAAATTATTTTGGTTGGAAGATGTGCTGTCATGTGATGTAGTTTGAGCACAGTCTGCAGTGAAGAAGAGAAATTAAAGAGCGCTTGAACCAATTCAAGATTCTGCCAGGTAAGTATGAACACATCATACATATAAATATATAATGAAATTGCTGTGTCACATGTTTGTACTGAAAATGCATGGTGACCAGAAGATCTCTCTCATTCATGAACTCGTTCTAGGGCTACAATAAGAGGAAGTGGGGAGAACATGGAAATCACATCCGATCTGCTGAGAACTTCTTGCCCTGTACAACAGCACCCTCTGCTGGACAGAAGTTCCAAGTACTCTCTGCCTTAGTTTGCTAAGGCTGCCAAAAAAGGATCACAAACTAGCTGGTTTAAGCAACAAAAATTTTATTGTCTCAGTTCTGGAAGCTACAAGTCTGAAATTAACATGTTTGCTCCTTGCTAAGCTGTGAGGAGAGCATCTTTCTGTCTATGGCCTCTTTCCTTGGCTTATAAATGACTGCCTTGATATTTAGGGTGCATTTGCCCAAAATATATGATCAAACTTCTTCTTATAAACCATCAATCATATCAGATCAAGACCCACCCTGAGGACCAATTTTAACTTGGTTACCTCTATAAAGATCCCATCTCCAAATAAGGTTGCGTTCTGAGCTACTAGGGTGACGACTCCATCATGTGAATTGTGAGGGGGCTCAATTCAACTAATAATGGCCCTTCAAAGAGAAGTAGTTATTGATCTGTTTCTGAGCTCTTTTTTAAAGTGAATTTTGCTCTGTGGAGACCTTGGGATTCCCAGACATGACATCTCCATTGTGGGGTGGGGCAACTAGGACAAGACAGCTGGTCAAATAAAGGTAATGTGTTTGAAGGCGACCAGTTTCTCCTCTGCGTACAGGGGCAGTAGCCACCACACTGGGAAATGCTTTATCCCCCTTCTTCCATGTGAGACAAAGCTACTGGCTCACCAGGGGCTGCATGGTCAGATACTCCTCTCAGTGCTGGGTTCACCTTCAGCTCAGCTAAGCTGAAAAGTGATGGCTAGTGCTGTTTGACCTCAGTGCAGCCATGGAAAACCCATTCACTGGGATTCACAGGGTGAATTCAAAGCTACTTTCAGGGCTCTAGCCAGGCAACTTACTACCAAGGGCCCTAAATATCCCTGCACATTCTTGATGGGTAGGTCAAGGATGCAAAGCCCTAGCTACTTAGGTCATTTCTGGCTTGTGCTTCAGCAAATAACCAAGCAACTCCCTCCCTGCTCCTCCCTTCGCTTCTCCATGGCTCACTATAAAGCAGATTTCCTCACACTCAGAGCTCTTCAAATGTGACCCAAATCCACTGAGTGTGGAGCACCCACTTAAGCTGGTTCCCATCTCTGTCACCTCCGCGAGCCTTGGGTGCCATGAGGAAGTGACACCATCATGCTCATAATGCTTATACTGTAATTAGCTTCTCTGATGTGAGGTCTCTGGTCTTCTATAACTGACTAACTTGTTAGCTTCCAGTAGAATAAACTCCCCAACCTTCATAGAACCTTCATGGGCTCACAGAGCTGATGTAAGAAAAAAATTCCTGTAGTTTCCACAGGTCTTTCATGAGGCTTCTCTAAGTTTCTGACATTCTGGGCTGATTCCTACACCTAATATGTCATCTTCTCTAGGTCACTCAGCTCTGATACAGTAAGTCATGTGTCCTTCTTTCAGTTTTTCCATTTCTCCAAAAGAAATCACGATCCTGAACAGAAACTCTTGTGTTCTTTAATAGCAGCTGGGTGTGGTGGCACATTCCTATAATCCCAGCACTAAAAAGGCAGATGGGAGGATCAGGAATTCAAAAGGCCATCTTGGGCTACATGCTACATAGTCAGTTTGAAGTCAGTCTGGGCTATATGAAATCTTATCTTAAAAAACAAACAACAGGGGCTGGAGAGATGGCTCAGCGGTTAAGAACACTGGCTGTTCTTGCAGAAGACCCAGGTTCAAATCCCAGCACCCACATGGCAGCTAACAACTGTCCGTAACTCCAGTTCCAGGGGATCCAACGCTGCCTTCTGTCCTCTGCGGGCATTGCATGACATGGGTGCACTTACCTACATGCAGGCAATACACACATACACATAAAATAAAAAATAAATAAAATATTTTAAAAAAAGGTCTTTAACAGCAGCAACACAGCAGCACCTAATACAGAGGCATTGTTGTATTTAATGTGTATAATTTTTACCCCTTACAGCATCTCTCTGAAGGACCTGTTTTTACCTCTAGTAAACAGACCAGGAGACTCAGGGCAGATCATGCAGGGAATTCAGGGTTGACCTGGGATTCACCCAGTTGTCTGGCTTCACTCCTCATTTGTACTTCTAGGGTACTGCCTCAGACTAGGGCCTTTATTGCCCAGAGCCTTTGTCTGAAATTTTAGGAAGACAATTTGGGTCAAACTTTTTAACATTTAATTTTGACTTACATTTTTTTTTTTTAGGTCTTTTTAAGACAGGGTTTCCCCTCAGCTGTCCTAGAACTCATTTTTAAATACTTCAGCAGCTTATACAAGGTAATTCAGCAACTTCCTGTGCTTTGATCTTTTTTTGAGCCATCCATTGTAAAATCCAAAGTGGAGTTTTCACAGTCTATAGACAGTTTCCTATTGTGACTTTCACAACTTATTATTGGGATTAAAAGGCCAAGATTGCAAGATTGTGTCTCTGGAGGCTACAGGGTAGAATCTATTTCCTTGTCTTTTCCAACCTATTAAAACTGTCTGCATCCCTTGGCCTATGGCCCTGACTCTGACTCACACCATCTTCAAAGTCGGTTGTGTGCAACGTAATTTGCATTTGGGTTTTAAGGCTATTTCGACGTGCAATAGTACAGCATCTTCAGAATCGTATTCTCCCCCCTCTTCTTTTAAAAGCCCTTAGGATTACAATGAATCTATATGGGCATTCCAAGATAACAACTCTTTGAATGATCACATTGTAAAGTCCCTTTCCATTTAAAGTCTCGTATTCATAACATATTCACGATTTGTAGGAATTGATATGTATACCTTGGGGGAGGGCATATTCTGTTTATAATATGCTCTAAGCAATTATCTGTACTATGGAAAATTTGATACAGGTATTTGGGTTGGAGACTTGAGCCACTTGCCAGTCATCTACTTCAACTTGTCTTTGAGGATGGAGCCCCAAGAGCATTTTATTTGGGTGTGGAGGGAGTCAAAAAGAACATATTGCTAGGGTGCAGTGCTAGGATAAGAGCATAACAGCATAATTAAAACATACCTGAAGTCGAGCATTCATGAGCATGAACTCCTGCTGATTTTTCATGTTTTCATTCATAGACTTTGAAAATATAAACCCCATCTTGACCTAAAGTGTGAAAATGCAAGGCAACTTTAAATAATATGCTCTTTGTGTCTTAATAAGCTCTGTGCTACCATGCTATGGCAAAGTAAAAAAAAATCTGACCTAGGAACCCAGTGTAAATTCTAACTAGTGTAACCACAGGCATCCTTACCCAACCTGACCATAATTTACTCAGCCAAAGCCATAATCTCTCCCTGCTCTGTGAATACGTTTCCTTACTTCTTCACACTATAAATCTGACATTATCCACCCTCTTACCCTCTGAACAGGTAGACAATAAAACCTTGCATCTGAGGAGGAATGCTTCAAAAGAACATTTTCTCTGTACTTTTTTAAAAAAGTATTTTCTTATGTTTATGTGTTTGTATCTATGTGAATGTGTACCACAGTGTGTGTGGGTGCCCTCAGAGGCCAGAAGAAGGTGTCAAATTCCCTGGAGGTACAGTTATAGGCAGTTGTTCCCAGCCTCTCCACAGGAGTGCTGGGAATTGAACGTGAGTTCTTTTGAAGAGTAGGAAGTACTCTTAGCCACTGAGCCATCTCTCCAGCCCCATCTCTGTGTTTCTTGAACTTGTATTTGAAGATTAGGGGTCTCAACATCAGCATATCAATACTGTTCCTGCAACCTGCCATGATCCTGTCCCTCTTTGACACACCCCTATTTCCCCCCACTCACAGTTGCCATTCCTTAGCTGTCTTCCAGCTTCACCTTTAGTCTCTCCAAGTCCCTGAGGTTCTCAAAAGTTGGAAAAGATAAGGATGCTTACACACCCTTGGAAATATACTTTTAAAAAAATCTCTCTGTATGTGTATGGTATAGGTACACGTTTACCTGTGTAAATGTGGGTGGGTGTGTGCCACAGCACATGTGTGGAGGTCAGAGGGGATTCAAACTCAGGACTTCATGCTTTCGTGTCATGTGCTTTACCCACTAAGCCATCTCAGCCCATAGATTCACTTTTAAAAAGCATTTTATTATTACTCTGTATTTTATTTTATGTGTTTTGCTTGCACGTCTGTAGGTACACCATGTGCATGCAGTGCCCACAGATGCCAGAAGAGGGTGTTGGATCCCCTGGAACTGGAGTTACAGATGATTGTTAGATGCCATGTGGTTGCTGGGAATTGAACCCAGGTCCTCTGGAAGAACAGTAAGTGTTCTTAACCACTGCGCCATCTCTCCAGCCACCATAGATACATTTTTTTTGGGGGGGGGGTCTTTTTGAGACAGGGTCTCTCTGTAGCCCTAGCTGTCCTGAAACTCACTTTGTAGACCAGGTTGGCCTTGAACTCACAGAGATCCGCCTGCCTCTGCCTCCCGAGTGCTGGGATTAAAGGCGTGTGCCACCAGATACATTTTTAAAATGACTACATTGTACAGATTTTCTTCTACTTACAACAGAAGTTAACACCCAATAAACTCATGGTAAGTTGGAAACATTGAGGAAATGCATTTAGTACATCTAACCTTCCAAATACCATGGTTAGCTTAGCCTACCTTAAATGTGCTCAGAACACTTACATTAGCCCATAATTTAGACACAAACCCATTTTATAACAAAGTGTTCAATATCTCATGTAATTTATTGAATATTATAATAAAGTAAAAATCAGAATAATCATTCTGTTTTACCAGCCTAGGAAATGATTAAAATTCAAAATTTGAAGATTTTTTTTTTTATGAATACATATTGCCTTTGTACCATCATAAGTTAAAAAATTGTAACTCAAGCCATTCTCCCAGTCAGGGACCATTGCCACTCTCTATCTAGTTATCTTACCTGAGAAGTATTTAAGTGGGCTATCAACTCTACACGGGTCTGAACTTCAAATTCTGTTCTTAATCCAATTGAGTATGTGCAGAAGACGTTTAGTTGGTTCTTAATTTTACTTTCAGATGACTGTAAAACCCAGGGAAACATCACAGCTTCTCTACTTTCCCTGCTGTTGTTGGCCCCTTTCTTTAGCCGGCTGTTTAACACCCTCACATCAGGGTAGCCAATCTCAATGCTTTACAAATATTCTGAGGGAAGTTTGGACAGCAAGCAACCTTTTCTACATTCTTCCTAATACTGGGTTTGGGCTGAGAAAATGAGTGGGGAGAGCAAGGGTATTTCATGTCAACTGAAATGGGTATCGCTGCTAATAGGGCTCCACAAGAGTATGGAGGCTTCCATTGACTTCTCTGGATTCAGACCAAGAACACACCATGAAATTACATGGCATCTGGAGCCAGAGCCAGCTTCAAAGCTGAGCACAGGGCACAGGCTGAACTTCGTACTCAGAAGCAGAGCCCTGAGGCCTGCAAGGTCATGAGGGCTCCCTCCCTGTCTGCCATTGTCCCATTCAGCACCCTATGAACAGAGCCAGAGGACAGACAGGGAAGAGGGGAGGTTCTAGCATTTTGCTCCCATTCTCTAAGTGTTGACAGCTCTTTCAAATTCTTTCCAACAGCCAGCCAAAGCTTGCAGGAGAAAAATATCATCCATCCCGACAGTTTGCAGAAAGCAGAAATGATTTAACACAAGGAAAACTTTGGCTCAGGCCCCTCACCCTTCCTTTTTTGTCTTCTGCATGTAGGAGTGGATGATTTTAACTTTTACATCTGCTGTAAACATCTACAAAGAAATCAACTGTCCTCTAGTCTCTACACATGCAGATGTGAACCCTTCAGGGCATTTCTGTTTATAAAGGGGTGGTGGGGGGTGAGCTTTCTCTTAAGGTAGTAGTGGGACAATTCTCATGTCAACCATGTAGAGAAAAGAAACCTACAAAGTTAGGGTTTAGGCTTACCTCTTTCTGGGTCTCCTCTGTTGGACGTAGACTTTGAATGTGTTGGAAGAAACTTCTAGGTAGAAGGGTTAAAGGTTGAGAGGCCAAGCAGGAAGAAGCGCAGCCCTCTGGGAGACCAGACCTGCAAATGAGTACCACACCTGGTAACTTCACCCTGGTGCACAGCAGTGTTTCCAACACCCTCTCCTTTCCTTTCACTAAGTCATCTCAGGCCTTCCTTAGTGTGTTCAAAATACCCTCAGGTTTCTTTCTCTCCCTCACAAAATATTATCAGCAAATAAACAAGAGTGACCTAGCAACAGAAAAAAACTTTGATTTCACTCATTTGTAAAAGGTAAGTTTTTTTTTTTTTTTTTTTTTTTTTTTTTTTTAAGTCCAACTTTATCCCGGGTAACATGTGTGTCTCTGAGGGCTCAAAATATGGATGTGGGTCCCTTCTGCACCTGAGGTTTTAGAGGGGAGTTTTAATTCTCCAGCCCTCACAGCCTGGCAACAGATTACTATGGGAAGGTGTGTTTCTGGGGAAGTGTTAATTGTACAAATCTCAGACAGACTTTCTCTGGTCACTCTGGAAACCAAGATTTGATTTTGAGAGAGAGCGAAAGAATTTTATGACTTCTGTCATTCACATTTCTGCATTGATTTATTACCTGGTTACAAAATCACAATCATTTTCAATAAATCTTCGAGACCATTTTCCTTTGCAAACTTCAACATGAAGAAGCACATAGCCTCAGGGAGGTTTTTGTGATCACATCCTCTTGCTCTTTGGACCTAATTACTGTAATTTAGGTATTCCCCTTAAAGATGTCCGGTTTCCACCCACAGCACTCTGCCGACTTTTCCCAACTTGATGACAATGCTAGGAGAAATCAAGCCGACGGAACCTGATTGGCAATACCTGTCACCCCAGGGGCTGCAGGAGAGCCCAGAGTCCCGGCGCCCAGTACGGCCTCGCCAGCCACGTGGCCGCGCCCACGCACCCTCCCCGCCGCGGGACGCACTCACGGGACTCGGTGCGGGGCTGGGTGACCGCTGCAGAGGCCTCCAGTCCCTGCTCCTTCGGATCACGGTGGAGACAGGGCCTTGCGGGCAGAGCCTGGGGATTGGCTCGCCCTGACAGTGCATTGAGAGCTTCAGCCAATCAGTGTGGCCTTTGTCTTCCTTAAAGGCCCTGCTTCCCCGGCAAAGGCAGGGATGTCCTTCCGGTGCAGGTGCCTTGGGGCGGGAGGTGGGTGGGGCAGATCAAAGCGGCAAATTCAAAGCCGCCTGGGCCCTGCTGGATGCATTTGAGGAAAGCTGAGGAAGCACAATGGAAATCACAACGGAGTTTCTGCATTACCATATTTCTCTCCTGCTGCAGAGGGGATGAGCATTCTTTTCACTCCCACCAACAATGTCTATCTTGAGTAAATTAAGTCTTCCCAGCCTCTCTGAGAGAACCTCTGAGGACTATTACTACCACTCTATCCTTTCCTACCAAATAGGTTGGGAAAACAGCATAAGCTTCACAGGCCTCTGGCCTTTAGGAAGGGTCCTGCCTTAGCCCTGGCAGACACCACACGTGGTGATTTGAAAGAGGTGTCCCCATAGGCTCAAGTATTTGAACACTTGGTCAGTTGGTGGCCCTGTTTGTTAGATTTTTGGAAAATAAAAGGAAAGATAGAGGAGTAAGGAGACAAGAAACCAGAGCCAGACCTGCTACAGGCAAGGAATATATCTTCCTTTATTCAAAGAAACAGTGAGAGGTAGAGGCTGTCTGCGGGAAACCAAGCATCCACAACTAGACAAACAGATGGGGGGGCTGTTACCAGGGGTTACCGGGGTTGTGGGACACAACTACCACAACTACACTTAGTGGGGAGTCGAGTTAGTGCCCTGGCTTAAAGATCTCCTTCTCAAGATTATTTACCCAGGAACTGGCTGGAGTGTTATCTATGGCCTTAGAGGAGACAGGTGAGCTCCACAAACATTTCCTCTCAGGCTTGAGGAGTGACCAACTGATAAGGGATGAGCAGAGCCAGGTCTTTAATCTATAGCTGTTAGGTCACTTTGTATTTTTACAATTTAGAGCCTTTCAGCCACTCTGATGGTTTTTATGCCTTTATGGCTTCCTTCCTCTAATGAAGCTCATGATTTTTCTGAGGTTCACATATTCTATCACCTTTGTGAATGTTCAGGAGGTGTGATCTTACTGGAGGAAGCCTGTCACTGAGGGGAAGGTTTGATAGCTCATAGCCACTACCCAGTTCAAGTTTAGCTCTCTCTGCTTCCTGAGCCTGCTTGAAGACGTGAACTCTCAGCCTTCTGCTCTGCCTCCTGCCCTGCCTCCCCCACCATGATGGACTCTAGTCCCTCTGAAACAATAAACCCAAATTAACTCTTCTATAATACCTTGTTCATGGTGTTTTATCACAGCAACAGGAAAGTAACTAATATACCACATCAGTAGAGAAAGTGTCCGTTGTCTCCCAGGTCCCAACCCCTAGGCCTGCTGAGAAAATAAAAAAAAAGGAAACTAGGCGCCATGAGTGCTCAGGGGCCCACAGCCCACTTGTTAAAACTTAACAAAAACCAGAACCAGCCTTATCAAAAGGCTGCAGGACAGGCAGGCGTCGGTCAAGCCTCACAGATGAAGCCATAAACAAGACAGAACTCCTGACCACCCTGGGGGCCCGATACCAGGAAATCTTTAGAAAACGTCTGTGCTTCTGAGGTCACCTCCCATTTAGCAATCCTATTTCCCCTCAGCCCCGGACCTTACCCCATACCCCTGCATACCTTTGAAATTACTGGTAAAATTACTATGTGTGTTTGAAATTAACCAATAACCGCGTTTCTGCTTCTGTACCCTGCTTCTGCCTTATAAAAACCCCCTGAACTCAACCTGGGGCGCGCAAGTCCTCCGAGGAGACTTTGTGCCCACAGGTACCTGTGTCCTGAATAAACCTCTTGCTGTTGCAACCCAAAGGCCGTGACTTGTCCTCCGTGGTTTCACTCTTACACTGCCTCCATACCCTCAGCTTCAGGCCTCAGTATTCTGGCCTGTTTCCAGAGAGAAATTATACCTTCAACTGAATGATTAGCTGATCAGAACTTTAATGATTGTGGAGAGGTTAAAATATTGCAGGCCCAGAGTCTAATTACAGTTTGTCTTGGGCTCTCTTTAGCCCCCTAAATAACCATTCCTTGCTCACCTCTGTGTTGGACCTAACATCCTGTGACTGACAGATTCAAACCTTTTGGATTGCATTTGCAAAACCCTAGCTTCTACCAAACCAAAAGGCTAATAGGGTCAGCATCTGAGGCCTAGAGCAGAGGTTTCTCTGTTTTTCTCCAACCCACCTATTTAATATTTCCATCAATATATTTGAAAAGTTCCTTGATTTGTGACTTTCTTTGTTCTGTTACTATAAAAACTTCATCAAACTGTTACCGTATTAGAAAATGGAATTTGGGATAACCTAAATGTGTGTTCCTGGGCCATGGTCACTCATATTTGACTCCAGAGTAAACTAACTCTTGTGCCCTGACGTGAGAATTGTGTTTTTGTGTTGAGAGGTCCTACATTCCAAACATTATTTGTACAATGGCTGGATGGGGAAACTTCAGCAGCATCGTTTCCATATGTGGGAGCAGGTGTAAAACCATACAGAGCTTTTACTTTTGAAGGGAAGTCAGTTGATCCTTGAGGCAGGGAATAGTGGTCACATACTCAGACAAATGCGAACACATCTGGATTCAATTTTCGCTCTGTCACTGTCACCTTTCACCTTATCGCCTTCATCTGCAATAGAACTACAGCCATCTAATTATTGTGTTGTGAGGGCTAAATAAGATAATCCATTTAGACAGGGACACTGTATAGTGCCTGGCATATAGCAGTCGATAAACAATAATAACTGGTCACAGTGGGGAGCTGCTAATAACAATAGACTTGAAGAGACCAGGGAGAGGGAACAGTTACTAAAGCAGGTGTGAGCTGGAGCTATAGGAATGAATTCCAATAGGAAGCATGTTGTTCAGTAGAGGAAGCAGCCAGTCCTCACCTTTCAGAGAAGCTGAGATTGGATGTTCCTGAAAAAGGCAACCAAGAATCCCCAAGAGTCTATCTGCTTTGCCACCTGGCCCAAAGCAGGGATAATGAAGAAGAAAGATCCCCTTCTCTGTCTCCTATAATCCAACATCCTGCTGGGATCTTTCATTGGCTGGATCTACTAGGAAAGCAGAACATGGGGAGCCAGATTACTGCAATCTGTAATGGTCAGTCTTCTAAACACAATGGTCAGAGAGAAGAGAAAATAACCAATATAACATTTCAGTGACATTGGATTTGGCATGTCTGGAAGTCCTGATTCAAAAGGAAGAAACATTTCCACTTCAGGCCCAGCATAGTTCGACTGACTTGGAAGCTGAACTGCCCTCAGGTCCCTCACAGTGATTTAATTGAGATGATTGGTCCCAATATCAAAAGGACATTTCATTGCACCTATACAGTGAAGGCTGAGAGAACTATGCACAATCCCAGAGATCCCCTGGGCACCTCTTAAATCCTCCCTGAATAGTACCAGTGTTCACTAGATAGCCTTAGCAAATCAATAAGACCAAAATTGCTTAAATTTCAGACTATGCAGAAATTAAAGTGTGCTACCACTAAATTCAGACCTACCAAGGTGCTCGCAGAAGGGAGAAGAAACATGAGCAAGTGAGTAGAAGGCCATGATTATCAGTCTAAGCCTTATAAAAAGCTTGAGCCAGGAATTGCAGTAGCTCTGCTCATAAAATATTATTTCTTCCCTGCCCTTTTTTCCCCTATTACCTTGCATAAAGAGTAATAGTCAGTGGGGGCTCAGTGGTTAAGAGCACTGACTGCTCTTGCAGAGAACCCTGATTCCATTCCCACCACTCCCAGCACCCATATGGCGGCTAACTGGAGTCCATAACTCCAGTTCTAGGGGATCTGATGCCCTCTTCTGACTTCTGTGGGCATTGCACAACATGGGTGTACTTACACACATGCAGGCAATACACTCATATACATAAATTAAAAATAATAAAATATTTCATATTAAAAAAGAGTAATAGTCAAGACAAATACAATTTCATTTCTAGGTTATAATATACCTGAATTAGCATTTGCTCTAGGAAATAGAAAATATGGTGGCTAAAGGAACTTACAGAAAACCAGAGTCAGACATCGTAGTTAAAGGGAAATGTTAACCTTTCTTTTGCTGTGACCTAAAGACCTGACAGAACAGTTTAAGGAAGGAAGGGCTTGTTTTGGCTCATGAATTTAGAGTTCAGTCTCTGGCAGGAAGGGCTTAGCAGAGTTCAAGGAAGCTCTTCCTGGGAAGCAGAGGAAGAATGCAGGCTGGAGCCAGAGGCAATTAAAACCTTCAGATGTTCATCCCTAGTGATCTATTTCTGCCAACCAGGCTCCACCTCCTAAAGTCTTTTCAGGCTTCAAGATAAGGCCACAAGCTGAAGATTGAGTATTCAAATAGGAGCCTAGAGACAGTTCAGACTTAAACCATAACAAAGGGTCAAAAAAAAAAAGAAAAAAAAAGATTTTATTTAGGAACCAGAGATTTAGGACAGGAAAGAACTTCAGTGTAGAATTGGGTTCAGTTCCAAATACATCAAGGACCTGGGGTGGGGGATTTATAGCTAAGAAGAAGGAGCAGTCACCGCATTTAAAAAAAAAAAAAAAAGATTACTAAACGGAGACATCAAAGTTAGAGAGGGACCTTGCTAAACTGACCTAACAGGATTCTCTTGAAGATGATCAGAACTACCTGAGAGATGGTAGAAGGTGAGGAATTTGATCAGACACTGAAGGTGCTCAGATACCTAGGGTAGGGAGAGTTTTCTCTAACTTGCCTGTAGGACTCCTACAAGAACACAGAAGTCCAAGTTCAAAGTCTAACCAAAGAAAGGGCTTAGAGAAGCCCAACTGAAGTTCAGTTGAGGATTGCACCTTGTCACACTCTGTGACTCCTACCTGTGTGGGATCAATTTCTCTTCATCTGAGCTAAGGGCAAGAGTGAATGCTGGTGGCAACGCAGGCAGACTCTCTGGGTCACCCGCTTGCCTTCTCTTGTGTATGTTCTCCTCCCTCTATGTTGACTATGTCCCAGAAATGATCTCG